ATATAAGTATATATAAAGTATCTGATACTTAAAGAGTTTTCATTACTCTTTTTAGCATTCAGTATCTTTTGTGTATTCTTTAAGTAAGTATCAGATATAAGTATATATAAAGTATCTGATACTTAGAGTTTTCATTACTATCTTTTTAGCTTTGTATCTTTTGTGTATTCTTTAAGTAAGTATCAGATATAAGTATATATAAAGTATCTGATACTTAGAGTTTTCATTACTATCTTTTTAGCTTTCAGTATCTTGTGTATTCTTTAAGTAAGTATCAGATATAAATACTACACAGAAGATACAGATAGATGCTATAGATACCATACAGAATAGATACAGTAAGTATCTGTTCTGTACAGGATTTTTTACCATCACATAGTATTATAAAGCTATAAATTAGCCTTCTAACGAAGAGAACACAGCCAGACACATTATTTTTGCCTTCACTGGGGCACCCCAGAAAACACAACCGGCATTTTAGCACCAGCACCTCCAGCCCTGCCCCGTCACCCACCTGGAGGGGTGACACCGGGCCCCAGCGCGGTGACCACGGGCGTGGGCACGGACGGGGGCGGCGGGGCGTCGGCGAAGAGCTGGTGAGGCCTGTCAGCCTGGGACAGGGGGTTCTGGGCAGCCAGCAGCCGCTCGGCCGCCGAGCCGTGCCGCTCGCCCTTGGAGTCCTTCTTGAAGGCGTAGGACACGGTGATGGGCCGGTTGCACAGGTACTGCCCGTTCATGGCCTCGATGGCCGCGTCCGAGGCGTCGAAGCTGGCGAAGTTGATGAAGGCGTAACCCTTGGAGTTGCCCGTGTCGGGGTCCCTCATGATCTTGGGGGTCTGCAGGATGACCCCGAAGGCGCTGAAGGTGTCGTAGAGGAGCTTCTCGTCGATCTCGGGGTCCAGGTTGCCGATGAAGATGTTGGCGCCCACGTCCAGGTTCTTGTTGTGGGCCGAGGCCTTGTTGACCCGGATGGGTTTGCCGTAGAGCTTGATCATGTTCATGATCTTGATGGCGTAGTCGGCGTCCTCCTCGCTCAGGAACTCCACGAAGCCGTACCCTGGGGGACCCCAAAGGGGCTCAACACAGCTCAAAGGGGTTTCACAGGGGGTCCCAAAAGGGTTTCAGGACAGAAATCAAAAAAACTTCCCCTGGACCCCAAAAGGGTTTCAGGACAGAAATCCTGGGGCCCAAAAGGATTTCAGGACAAAAATCCAAAAAATTTCCCCTGGACCCCAAAAGGGTTTCAGAACAGAAATCCTGGACAGAAATCCAAAAGATTTCAGGACAGAAATCCTGCACCCCAAAAGGATTTCAGGACAGAATTCCTGCACCCCAAAAGGATTTCAGGACAGAAATCCAAAAGATTTCTCCTGGACCCCAAAAGGATTTCAGGACAGAAATCCAAAAGATTTCCCTGGACCCCAAAAGGATTTCAGGACCAAAACCCTGGACAGAAATCAAAAAAACTTCCCCTGGACCCCAAAAGGATTTCAGGACAGAAATCCTGGGCAGAAATCCAAAAGATTTCAGGACAGAAATCCTGCACCCCAAAAGGATTTCAGGACAGAAATCCAAAATATTTCCCCTGGACCCAAAAAGGATTTCAGGACAGAATCCCCCCACACACCCCCACCTGATTTAAAACCCAGCTCATTGAAAACCCCATTTAATTACTGACTGAAACCCCCCTGATTTTATTTTAATACCACCTAAAACTTGATTCAATCCCCACCTCATTTAAACCATACATGTAGGAATGTGCTTCCCCCGCTGATGGAGTGATTAAATTATTCTTTGTCTGCTAAAAAGTTAAAAAAAAGGCCAGAAGTTTCTCTCCTCAATTTGGTAAAAAGATACCTCATAAGGTTTTTAAGATTTCACCTCAGACTTAGGGCTGCCAATTAGACAGAGGCCAAAAAGTCCTGCCTAATTAATTCACTAAAAAAAGAAGAGAACAAAATAAATAATTGCTTTTGTGGAGTGTTTAGCAAGAGCAAGAACCTCTCACACTTAGCTCAGCTTTTTCTCTATGAGAGCTTTGATATTTTGCCTTTTATTAAACATTTTTTCTGTTTCCAACCCTACCTCAAAAACCATCCTGTTAATTTTACGTAGATTTATCTCAGGTGTGACAGGTTCTCTGAGAGCTCCTAAGACCTAACTCCAAGAGAAACCCATCACTCCCGAGGCACAGAGGACGATCCCTCCTCTTCCACAGCCCGACCCCAGCCCAGCTCTGCCCCCCGGGGGCATTTGGGGGTCCCTCACCCTGGTGCTGGCCCGTGACCCGGTCCTTGGGCATGTGCGTGTTGACCACCGGCCCGGCCTGCAGGAAGAGCTCCCAGAGCAGGGGCTCGCTGACCTTCTCGTCCAGGCCCCCCACGTACACCGTGGCATCTGCGAGGAACCGAGCTCAGCGCCGGGACCCCCACAAACCCGAACCCCCCCACCCCGGTCAGACTTTAATCCACGAAGCCCCCACCCCCCTCTTTTTCCTTCGGGAAAAAACACAGCCCACCACCACCCCGGAGCTCCGCCGGTGCCTCCTTCCGTGTCTCCCGGAGCCCAAAATCCCTTCCAGCGCCTCCCAGGCCACACCAAGTTCCCCTCATTCCCCTCAGAATGCACCCACAGCACCCCCGCGGTCCCCACGCACCCCGCACGCCCCTAGCGCACCCAAGCCTTCCCCAGCACCCCCGCGGTGTGCCCCTGAGTGCCCACAGCGCTCCCGCAGTCCCGCCGTGCCCCCGGTGCCCCCGGGCCCGTCCCGCCGCTCCCACCCTGGTTCCTCTCCGAGATCGGCCCCGCCGCCATCTTCTCCCGCTCCCCGCGCGCGGCGCCGCACGCACGCACGCTACGTGCGTGACGTCAACGCGCAAGCCTGGCGCCTGCGGGAGGGGCCGGAAGTGGCTCCGTGAGGGGAAGGCGAGGCCGCCATCTTGGGTGTGGGCAAGGTGCCGCTGCCCTTCCCTCTGTCGCGACATGGCCCTTCTCTCGCGACATGGCCTTTCTGTCGCGACACAGCCCTCGCGGCCAGGAGGGCCCTCAGTGCCGGAGGTCTGGGCTCCCGCAGCGTCCTCATCCCATCCCCATTGCAGTCCCCATCCCTCAGCTCCTGGAGCCTCATGGAGGCAGCGCAAATTTAATGGAAAAAGCGAGACCCCGCAGCGTCCGTCCAGCATCGGGGACACCTCGGGACCGGCCGCTCATCCCCTTCCCGGCGCTTCCCAGAGGTAGCCGGGGAAGGCTGCGGGCTGTTGGGAGCGCCAAGGCCCGAGGGGTCCTGGGTGGGCTCCGGTGTCCTCGGGGTCTCAGTGGGGTCTCCGCAGGTTCCAGGCACCCAGCCGCTCCTGGAGCAGCTGCAGCTCCTCAGCCAGCCCGGCCAGGGATGGGGCCGAGCGCCCGCGCTGCAGGGAGAGCACGGGCAGCACGGCGTGGGGACACAGGACACGGGACAGGAACGGGAGAGGAACACGGGGGGTGTTCATCATGGGACAGGGACACGGGGGTGGTAACACGGGGCAGAATGTCCAGCACAGGACAGGGTAGGATGGATGGACACGGGGTCTGTCTGTCCATCTGTCCATCCATCATCCATCCATCCATCCATCATCCATCCATCATCCATCCTCACCCCCAGCCCAAGCAGCAGAACAGGGCTGAGACCCCCCAAACTGGGACCCCCCAAACCCATACCCCCAGTCCGCAGCCCTCCCCGTGCCTCAGTTTCCCCAGTACCTGTTCCTGGGGCAGCCCCCTGAGGTAGCAGCGGTGCCAGAGCCGGATGCAGGGCCCAGCAGTGCAGGGCAGGAGCAGCCCTTGGGAGGGCTGGCGTGTCCCCAAGAGCCCCCCCTGTGTCCCCTGGCTGTCTGAGGGGGACACCCGGAGTGGGGGGCGCAGGGGGGGGCGGCTCCACCAGGGCAGGGGGTGGGGGCACAAGGAGCCCTTAGCCAGCGTCAGCACCAGCCTGGGGCTCCCCCACGGGCAGGGGTCTGCGGGCTGGGAAAGGGGGAACAGGGATTAGGAAAAATTAAAAAAAAAAAAAGAGGAGGAAAAATTTTTTTAAAAAGGGGAAAAATCCCCTTTTGGGATTTTCCATCAAAGGGAAAACAGGGGAGGAAAAGTGAGGTGAAAAAACAGGAATAAAAGGGGCTGAAAGAAAGAAGAAATGGGGGCAAACAACAGGGATTGAGGGGAAGGGAGGGTGCAGCCCCCCAGGGCAGCCCCACTCACCGTGCCCGGGCTCAGGCACTCAGCAGGGCCCGGGGGTCCCACGGGGTTCCGGAATTGCTCCCGCTGCTGCCGGGTGTAGCGCCGGCCCCAGGCCCAGACCGGGGGGAAGCTGCAGGGGCGGGGGTCTCCCCTGTGCCCCCCAGGGTCCTGCCAGCCCCCCATGGGCCGGTAGGTCTGGCTGGGGAGCCGGGGCTGCAGGGGAAGGGGTGGGAAATCAGTGCACAATTTAGGATGGGGAAACTGAGGCACGGAGCGGGAAACAAAGGGTAAAATCTGGGGGTGCCCATCCTCAGTTTGGAATGGGGAGGGAGAAACTGAGGCAGAGCAAGGAGAAGGGGTGAAATGGGAGGGTTTGGGGGTGCAGCAGTGCTCCCCTGCCCCTCACCAGGCTGCTGTGGCCCCGCTGGCGCTGGCAGCTGAAGCGGAAAGTGCTGAAGTAGGGGCTGAAGCTGCTGTCGTGGAGAGCCAGCAGAAAAGCCTCGGTGAAGCCAAAATCCGCCGGGAATTGCCACAGGAGCTGCCACGTGCAGTCCAGGAACAGCAGGAACACGGGGGCCTGCGGGGGAAATACAAGATGGGGGGGTCTCACCTCCTCCCAGGCAGGGTCACCCCAGTGGGGCAGGAATGGGGGTCTCACCTCCTCCCAGGCAGGGTCACCCCAGTGGGGCAGGAATGGGGGTCTCATCTCCTCCTGGGGGTCAGGGTCACCCCAGTGGGGCAGGAATGGGGGTCTCATCCCCTCCCGGGGGGCAGGAGTGGGGGTCTCACCTCCTCCCGGGGGCTGTCCTGGCCCAGCAGCCCCAGCCGGTGTGGGAAGGGGTGCCCGGCTGCCACCCACTCCCTCTGCACCAGGCTCTGGAAGCCGGGCAGGGAGCGGGCGTGGGGGTCCCCCAGGAGCTGCACCAGAGAGGCCAGGAGGCAGTTCAGGTCCCGGTCCGAGGGTTCTGGGGGGACAAGGTGGTGAGGAGGGGTCCCCTCTGCAGCCCCCTCCCCTCCTTTTCCAGCCCCCAGGCTGGTGTCCCCACCTTGCAGCACCACGGAGCAGCGCTTCCCTGCCAGCAGCGACGCCACCTCCGCTGCTTTTCTCAGGCAGGAGCTGGGGGGAAAAGCAGGGGTTCAGGGCACCCCAAAATGTCACACGGGTGGCTCATGCACCCACCACAATGCCCCCATCGCCCCACGGTGCCAGGTGGGTTGGGGGGGACATTCCACCCATGGATTTAGGGTGTTTTTTCCCCAAAATACCTCCCTACACCCCAAAGTCCCCCTTGTCCCCTGCTCACCAGACGTGCTGGCTCATGCCCCCACCACAATGCCCCCATCACCCCACAGTGCCAGGTGCGACGGGGGGGAACATTCCACCATGGAATGTGGGTGAATCCACCCATGGATTTAGGGTGTTTTTTCCCCAAAATACCTCCCTACACCCCAAAGTCCCCCTTGTCCCCTGCTCACCGGACGTGGTCCAGCCAGCGTGTCCCCTCCAAGGCCGAGAGCCACTTCTCCTCTGCCACTGCACCTGCATCCCACGGGATGAGCTTTCAGAGGAGGGGAAGCCCAAGCCCCCCGGGGGGTTTGGGGGTCCCCAGGGTCCCCCTGGTGCCACTTACCTGGCAGGCAGAGCGCCCGCAGCCTCAGGTGGGCGAGCTGGATGTCGGCCAGCGTGGGCAGCTCGGCCGTGTCGGCCAACACGCAGGGCCCACGGCCCCCCAGCAGCAGCTCCTCCAGGCACCTGGGGGGCACAGGGAGCCCCGGGTGGGGCCAGGTTGGGGGCACAGGGAGCCCCGGGTGGGGCCGGGCCGGGGGCACACCCTCAGCCCCCCCACCCCAGACCCCCTGGCACCCACCTGACGTCCTCGCTGCCTGGCTCTGAGGCCGGGTGAAAGCTGGCGGCTCTCAGCAGGTCCCCCCCACCCGGGTGGTGCCAGCACAGGCGCTGCAAGAAAAACGGGGTGACGCCCCCACATCCCCCCCCAGTGCCCCCCACCCTGCCAGGGCCTGCCCAGGCACTCACAGGCACCCGTCGCTCCTGGAAGTGGGCAAAGGTTCGCTTGAGGTCGTGGTCCAGAAGCCCACTGGGCACCCAGAGGTACTGGGGGAGGCTGTGGGAAGGTGGGAAACAGGGTGGGGTCCCCCCAAATCTCAGGTGCCATTTCCGGGGGCTCAGACAGAGCTGGGGGACCCGCGGGGCTGTACCTGGGGGCCATGTCGAAGCGCTCATTGACGGCGCTCACCCTCCAGCCCGCAGCGCCGAGACGCTGCAGCTCCTTCTCCCAGTCCCGCAGGCTCTCGAAGAGCAGCGTGGTGGACGAGCCTTCCTCATCCTCATCCTCCTCTGGCGGGGCTTCACCAGGGCTGGCCCAGCCATCAGCAGCATCCCCCAGCCACGCAGCCTCCTCCCGTGCCTGTGCGATGGCATTGGCCACCTGCAAGCCAGCCGGGGGTGGGCTGTGAGGTGGGAGCCCCCCGGGATTCCTCAGAACCGCGGGGTACCCCGGAGTGGGGGTCCAAACCCTCTGCACCTCCCTGGCGTACCCGGAACGCCTGCGGAGCCAGCCCGTTCTCGGGGAAGGAGAAGTGGAGCAGGCGGAAATCCCGGCAGAAAACGGCGAGCTCCTCGGGGATGAACTTGAGGGTGGAGGCGGCCGTCAGCACCTTGGGCTTGGAGAAGCTGCTGGCTGGGGTCGGGGGGCGAGGCTGTGAGAGCAGCTGAGACCCCAGAGCTGCCCAGCTCACCCCTCGTGCCCCCCAGGTGTCCCCAGTACCTGCCACCAGTTTGTGGATGCAGGGCAGGGCCACCTCGTCCTCAGAGCGGAGGAGGCCACGGGAGCCGGGAGCCTGTGGGAGAGTGGGGAGGGCTGGAAAGTGTCCCAGAGTGTCCCCCCAGTCCCAGGGAGGGTGGTGGGGGTGGATCTGCACCTATGTCCCTTGTCCCCAACTATGTCCTGCAGTGAGGAGTTCCCAGGGTGAACACGGAGGGTTCTGCAGTCAAGGAGCCAGGATGGGCTGGGATGGGAGGCGGGGGTGCGGTGGGGTGGGTTCGGAATGGGGTCGGGATGCGCTGGGATGGGGTCGGGATGTGTTGGGATGGGGTCGGGATGCGCTGGGATGGGGTCGCGCCGGGGCAGGCCCCTCCCCGGGCAGGCGGCGCGGGGCCCCGCGGTCCCGCCGTTCCCGGTGTTCCCGGTGTTCCCGTCGCACCTGGCCGGGCAGGAAGGCGAGGCGGCGGTTGGTGCAGAGCAGCGTCCCCGGGACGGAGCCGCCGCCGTTCCCGCAGCGCTGCCGGGCGCCCGCCGCCTCCTCGAGCACCCGCTCCCCTGCGGGGAGACCGACTCTGGGTCCGGGGCTCCGAGCGCCCCGAGCCTCCCCAAAACCCCCGGCCCCCGGCCCCGGCCCTACCTGGGAGCCCGGGGAAGGTCGGGCGGCGGCCGCCCGGGGCCCCGCTCATGGCGCAGGGACTTTGGCCGGGCGGGCCCGGAGCGCCGGGGCCGGAGCGGCCCGGGAAAGAGCCCCGAGCGCCCGGCCCGGCTCCGGCATCCCGCCCTCTACTCCGGCATCCCGCCCTCCCCTGGCATCCCTGCCCCGGCATCCCGCCCCTCGGGGCCCGGGATTCCACTCATCCCGACCCCTCGGATCCCGGCGTTCCGCCCCCCGCCGTCGGTGGGAAAGAGGGGGAGCCGGGGGCCGGGAGCTCCGCAGGCTCCCCGGGCACCCCAGAAGTTCAGCGTTGGGGTGGGGGTACAAACCCAGCGACCCCGTCAGGGACGGGCGGTTCTGGGGTCCCGCAAGCGCTGCCCAGTGCAGGGGAGCCCCCAAACCCCGTCAGCAGCGGGGCGGGAGGGGGCCCGGGGCCCCTCCCGGGCACACGGCAGGAGAAGCTGCTCGGTGACTCACGGCAGAAGCATGGAGCCTTCTCCTCCTCCCAGCCCTGCACCGGCTCCCAAGCCAAGCCCAGGCCTCGCCGAGCCCCCCGCCCCACACCGGGCAGCAGGTGGATGGTGGCCCCGGGGCCACCTGTGCCACCCCGCGGTGCCACCAAACCTCCGGGCACCCCAGAGCCCGAGGCAGCAGTGCCAGCTCGTGGCAGGATAAATCCTGACACAGCCCAGGCACATGGAAAACTCAACGGAACTCCAGTTCCAGCTGGGATTCCTGGTGTATTTCCCCCAGATTTTTTGGGGGGAATTGCTTTGGAGGCTGCAGCTCGTGCACCCCAGTTTTCCTCCTGCAGCAGGATCACCTGGCAGAGGTTCCCGGGGGCTTGGAAAAGCTTTTGGCTCTGGCACCTGGCAGATGAGAGGAATTTCCTGGAAGCTTTGAGCCCGGAGCTGCTCCGAGCCAGGACGGGGTCAGTCGGGGCCACGACAGGAGGAAAGATCCTGGAGGAAAATCATCCAGCACAGAGGTGGAGCTGGGCATGGAGTGTTCCCCCAACAATGCCAGGAAGAAGGAAAAACAGGGAGCTGGGAGAGAAAATCCCAAGGGAAACTGCTCCCGGGGTCCCACCTTCCACAATCCATCTCCAACCATCCCCAAAGCTCTTTTTCCTCTTTCATTCACATGGCTCATGCTGGGGTTTATCCCTAATTTTGTCCTGAGATTGAGGTAGCAAAAGGAGCCTTGGGATGCAGCTGGGGAAAAGATCAGCAAGGATAGACAGAAACAGGGAAGGAAGGGTGTTTGAATGATTTAAATGAAAGCCAAGAATTAGTACCAAAATGGAATCACACAATAAATAATATAAATAATAACCCCAAAATCCCAATAATTGGATGGAGAAGGAGATGAGGAGCAGCCCCAGGAGGGAACTGGGGATGAAGGAGCCTCAGGTGCATCAGCTGAAGGTTTTTATTGTCAATGAGTCTGTGGTGCCACAACGAGGCCACAGGTACAGCCCAAGTGCAACGCTCTGGCCCTGTTCACCAGGAGGCCAAACATCACCAATTAATCCGGAATTAATTAAAAAAAAAGGAGTTTTTTTTTGTGAATAAACCACTGCAGAATTAATTCAGGTCACTCGGTGTCGCGTTAGTGAGACCCAAAGCTGCCCCAGCTCCTCCGCCGAGGGGCCGGGGAATGGCGAAGGTGAATCTCGTTTAATAAAATCAAATTAAATCTCATTAACGGGTTTTACACGCGCTGAAAGACAAACTTTTCCTCCGCCAGGATCCGATGGCAGCAATTTGAATTCCAACCACACCAGTAAGTGCACTTAGTTTGACCTTGGGGTCACACCACAGTCTCCCCGTGGAAAAATCCCTCCTGGGGAAGGGTTTGGTGCTTCTCCTCCAGTTTTGGAGTTTTTCCTCCAGCACTGGTGCTTTTCCCACAGATTTTCTGCTTTTTCCCCTCTTTCTCTCCTCCCACACCAACGAGCATCCCATCCCCACTGGGATGGAGTTAACCAAAGAGGAGAGAAATTCCCCCAAAAGCTGAAGCATCTCCTCCCCCTGCCCTCCCGTGCCCTGCGGCATCCCTGCTCCAGAGGATATTCCCAACGCCCAAATAAAGCTGCTGCTCCGATTTTGGGAAAAATAAACATCAGAAAGTGGAATTTAAAACCAAGTGTCTATAAATAGTGAAGGGTTTGGGTTGGGTTTTAACCATCTCGGCTTAAAATTTGGGGTGAACCAAAGTGGGGGCAGAGCTTGTGCTGCTTAACCAGCACTGCATGTCCCTGCCTGGGGTTGAAGTCCATTGGAATTCCTGCAGTTTGAGGGAGAAAAGTGGAATTTGTTCCCAGGTAAGAGGAGCCAGCTGGAGTGGGTGTCACACCTCCCCTTCCCACAGCTTCAGCCACGCTCGGGGATTTTATAAAACCAGGGAAAACAACTTACACTGGAGTCAAACCATCCCTGGGGTGCGTGAAATTCGGATTTGAGAATCTGCAGACAAGGAGAATTGCTGGCTGGACTCAAAGTGTTTGGATCCCACCAGGAAAGGCCTTATTTGGGGGCATTTGCATGTGGGAAAGGCCTTAACTCAGGGTTTTTAGGTCTAAGTTAACATTTTTAGGGCCAAGTCTAAGGCGTCAGGTGATCCCCCAAGCTCACTTTCAGCTCCTCTGCCTCATCCCTTCTCCTGGAAACGACCATGGGCAGGAAGGGGTTGCATAGTTTGATGCCTTCTGGAAAATCAACCCAAAAATAGAAACGAGGGTATGTTGTAAAGCTCTGGCTGAAGGATAGAACTCCTGTTTTATTTCCGTGTGATAGGAAATGCTGCACCTCACCTCGTGCAGGATCAGGCCAGGTTTGGGAGCTGCAGTTACCAAAAAAAAAAAAACAAACCAAAAAAAAACCCCAAAAAACCCAAGGAATTCTGTGCAAACATCGCAGTGCTAAAGTGAATCCCACCCTGGGAGCCAGGGGGCTGGGATGGGGTCAGGAACATTAGTCACGGGAGGATTTTACCTTAATGTTCTGCTTTTTAGCCCTGTTATCAAAAATATGGATTAATTCCGCAGCCTAAAGGTCAGTTGGTGGCTCAGCACAACGGAGCCGAGTTAATCAGGATCAGAGGTAGTACAGAGTAGCTGTGCTCAAGTAGGAGTTACGTGGGGCTGTGACCCCCCCAGCTCCACCTCAGGACTGGGGGTGCTCTGGGACCCCTTTTCCAGTGGATATTCCTGGGGGATTTGCCCCAGGCCACTGGGAATTCCTGGCAGGAGATGCTGACCCAGGATCTCACCTCAGCTCTCCTGTGGGCTGGGGGTTCTGCACAGGAAGAGAAACCTCCAATCCCTTGAGCTCTGGGAGTCCCCCTGGCTCCCCCCGCCTCAGAAAAGAGTTTAAAAACAACATTTTAAAACCAGAGTTCAGCTCATGGGGAGGAGAGGAGGGGACAGAGCCCTGAGCCTGTCCTGGTGCTCAGGGACATCCAGGACTGGGTGGGGGGCATCCAAACCACCTCACCTCATCAATGTCCAACTCCAACACGGTGTCGCTCAGTACCAGCAAGAAGAAATACAGAATAAAACCAGTGTTAAAAAACTCCATTAAAAGGTTTGTGACGTTCAAAATGGGGCATTTTTGCTCCGTCCCAGGTGGTCAGGAAGTGGGAAGGACCTGGTGGGAGCTGCTCCCCCTGCCCACTCCCAAAGCTTTGGTCTGGTTTATTGAGTTTTTGAGGAATTCTCCCCCCTCACCCTGTGCTCCGACCCGAGCAGCCCCCACTGTCCCCAGGCACCCCTGGGAATCCTTCTCCTCCCCTGCAGGAGCTCCAGGAAAGCAGGGGCTGCTTTCCCCCCCTCTCTCCCTCCTGCACCCCATCAATCCCAGCAGCCCCATGCCACTCCCAGCCCAACGGCTGCTCCCACCTCCTGCAGAGTGGGAGAGGAGCGTGGGTGGGTTTAAAACCAAAACGGGATCTCTGTTATTGCATTCCCCACGTGCCAGGGGTCCGGATGTGCACAGGGGGAGCCTCAGAACCTGTGCACCAGCGCCTCCCGCTCCCTGCGCCGCAGCTCCTCCTTGTAACAGCAGGAACAGAAATTCCCAGTCTCTGGGTGTCCATAAAAGCTGCAGTTGGGCTGTTTGCACTTGGTCTGCTGGATGTTGTACAGGGCTTGGCTTCTCATTTTATCCGCCGTTCCTCCCTTGTCCTGCTCGAGGAGCTCCCGGCAGCCGTTGCTGTGCGGGGGGAGGCAGCCGGAGCCCTCGCACTCCGAAGGGAAGGGAGGCTGGATGTCCATGTCCGTGGGGGAGAACCGGCCCAGGTGGGCAGGGCCGGGAGGGCAGGGGCCGAGCCGGCCCTGGTGGTGCCGGGGCAGGGTGGCATAGGGAGGGAGGCTCCCACAGGGCCCCCCCGCCAGCTGCCGCCGGCCCTCGGGGCACGCGGGTGGGTGCAGCCCCTCAGCACTGCCCATGGAGGGCCTGGGGAAGGTGAAAACACCAGAATAGCCAGCTGGAAATGCAGCTATTTTAGCACCCACGGCCGGCTCCAGGGGCTGGGGGGGGTAGGTGGGGGGTGGCTGGCAGAACACGGGGCTTGGCATCGCCTCCTCGCTGCGCTGGGCACCCACCTCCCCTTCCGGCCTCTTGGCCGGGGCAGCGCCGCCCAGCGCTTTCTTCTCCGCCTCCTTCTGCCTCTTCTCTGCCAGGAAACGCTCCTCAGCATCCAGGAGGTACCTCTGGATCATCTCCTCCTGGAACTGGTGCCGGGTGCTGGTCTTGAGGTGGCTGGCGAAGATGAACTTGCGCTCGCCCTGCATGGCGGCGCGCAGGATGCTCAGGCTCAGCCGCACGTCGCTGCTGTACTTGTAGGGATCCGAGGCCTTCTCCAGGGCTGCTTTACCTGCACAAGTCTTCTCTGCAGGAGCCAAATCTCCCGGGGAACATTCCTCTTTGCTGTCTTTCCGTGCCTTCAGGGATCCTTTCTTCTTCTTCTCCAGGGTGTCTCCCTGCCCGTTGCTCACGCCGCCCTTCACGGCTTTGCTGTGCATCAGGCCCCCCATGTTCTTTTTTAGTTTGCTGCCCAGAGTCTTCCCGAAGCTTCCCAGCTTGTTGGCTACTGAATCTGCCCGTTTTTTATCCTTTTCCTTTTCCTTTTCCCTCTCCTTCTTTGGTTTCTCCCTGTCCTTGCCTGCCCTGGTGCCCCCGTTGCTGGCAGAGCTGCTGCACACTGACTCCTTGTCCGACTCGCCCGACTCCGCTGCCGAGCGAGCGTCATCGCCCGCGGAGGCCGTGGGTGATTCTGGCTGAGCCAGAGGTGCCTGGGGAGGAAGGAAAGGCAAATATCAAAGTCTAGAAACTGCTCAGGTGAAGATTTTCGGGTGGAAGGTGAAGCTAAGGAGGTGGTGTTGCTTGGAACACAGACGGTGAAGCGTGTCCCCAGAGCATCCTGCTCATCCCTAAATATCCCTGTGGCACCCTTTCAACCTGAGACAGTCCAGGATCTTGAGATTCTATTCTGTGATTCTCTGATACCTCCACTTGCTCAAGGTTTCAGATACAAAGCCAGCGAAGAGGGGGGTGAGACTTGTCCCAATCTCAAGGTGGCCATAAACCAACAGCTCCCATTTGTTTGGAGCATGGGGTGTCCCTGGGGGGCACCTGGGTCATGTGAAGACTGAAAATGGACGTGGAAAGCTCTAGAGAAAAGGTGCCCACATGCAAAACTGAGTCACTTCCCTGCTCTCTGAGCAGAATCAGCCACAATTCCTGTGGGCACAGAACCCCTCATGAGGCAGAGCCCCCAGGTAAGGCCCTACAACAGCTTCCCTGCAGAGAGGAGGGTTGAATAATTCATAGGTAAAGAAGATCCCCCCGGTCCCTTTACCTGCATGTCACAAGGCAACGTGATCCATCTGACATTCATGTAGCTGTGCAGCAGGTGCAGTTTGGCCTCCAGTGACAGTGTCACGCTGGCATTGCAGGGGTAAAGCCACAAGTTAGAGCCATTTCCCACCTGGAAATATCTCCCCTCATATTTACATTATTCCCTGTGTTATGTATTAATTGGGTGTTTTCCTACAGCAGGTCCAAGGGCACAAAAGGGATAATTAAGCAGCTTTCCTTTCAATGAAAACCCCAAGGGAGAAATCAGATTCCTCGTTGTTGGGATCAAAACATTTCTGCCTCAGCCATAGGAAGTGCTGGGACCAAACCATGGTGAGACCTGCCCAAAGCCTCACCCAGACCAGGCATGGTCTGGTGGCCACCACCCTCCCTGCTCCAGGGACCCACAAACAAGGATTTTTGGTGACAAATGGAAAAATACACTTTTTTTGTGCTACTATCACAGGAGATCCTCCACTGCTGCTGGTGTCTTGAGCTACACCCAGCCCAGAGCTCCAGGATCTGGAGCATCATCACTTAGATGTGGGAATGAAGCTCGTGAGATGTCACAGCCCCACCCAAATCATATCAAAATGAAGGAAAATGAAGGAAAAGCTGCTCCATGCCCATGAACAGTGCCATTCCCTGGGCACAACTTCCACCCAGCACAAGAAAACCCAGCTGGGGTCAGGACTGACCCCTTCATCCGTGACCTCTCTGCTCTGCAGATCACCCAGACCCTCAGGGGAGCCTCACCCTGCAGATCACCAACCTGGCCAGCTTGACATTGTCACTGTCGTCCTTCCCCCACTGCCACTCCTTCCCGGGGTCCACGGCGAAGTGCACGGGGAGCAGCTTGTGCTCAGAGTCTGTCAGGGGGATCACAGCTGCCCCAGGACACAAATGGCACATTTACAGCTCAGAAGGACAAATATTCCACACTTGGAGCCAACCCTGAGCACCCACCAGGAGCGTTGTCACCTCTGATGGGAATGGCCTGATGGCAAATCCCAGTGCCTGGGGTCATGGAATTGTCAGATCATGGAATGCCTCACGGCCCTCACAGGGAGGAGTTTCTCCACAATATCCCATCTAACTCTGCCCTGTGTCATTCCCCTTGTTTTGTCACCCTTGTCCCAAGCCTCCCTCCAGCTCTTGGAGCTCCTTCAGGCACTGGAAGGGCTCCAAGGTCAGGACACTGTTGTTTTCTGGGCTGACAGTGCACATTGATGGGTCCTGGGCAGCTCTTCCCCCTCAGCACTCCCAAATCCTCCTCCTCACTTTGCTGACCTGAATCTCATCACTCACCTTGATCTTTTGAGTTTTCCTTCTGCTCCATGGAGACCAGGGCAGAAAAATGAGCTTGGTCATAAGCCAGAACCAGTGGAGACCGGTGGCATTTGTTGGCTGGGACTTCCAGGGGCAGATAGATCCCTCCAAAGGGAATTGGGGCAAATGCTGGGAAGAATTGAGAGTGGTTAGTTCTGATGACAGGTTCAAGAGTTCAGAGTTGTTTGTGCTGCAACTGCTCCAGAATGAGCAGTTTGCCTCAATCGAGGGCTCACCTGCAATTATCTGTCATCTCAGGGGACATTAAACAAAACCACAACCCAAAATAGATGTTTATTTTACATCAGAAGGATTTAAAATGTAGAATGAACTGGTATTTTCTATAAAAAGCCTTCCTCTTCACTCCCCCACAAAGACAAAACTTTGCCCACAGAATGATGGAAATCAATTAACCTTCTCTGACAGGAAATTGAAGCTGATGGTGGAAAATCCACCACCCAGGGAATGGAATTTCTCATCTCTAGATGTGTGTGTAGGGGCAAAAGAGGTAAAAAAAAAAAAAGAAAAAAACCTTGTGTGGATGCTCTTAAAGCAGCAGAAATTGGGAGCCAAGTCTGAGCTGGCCCCTCCGTGGGCTCACCTGTAGCAGGTCAATTTTCCTTTATGCACCATTCCCACCTCCAGGTGCAGCTTTGACAGCAAAGAGGCCCCAGAAAGGGTGGAAAGGAAAGGTGGACAGCCCAGAGAGGCTTTGGGAAGAGAGGCAGGTCTCACCTTCACCACCTGAGTCCCTCAGCATGGTGTCTGCCACCACCACGATGGGTCTCTTCAGCACGTGGGCCAGGACAAAGACGTGGAACTCCTCCAGGCTCTCGTACACCGGCTCCTCTGAACCCTCCACCCTGGGGCAAAGGAGAAGCTGAGTGTCATCCCTTGGATATTCAATCATTTGCTTTGTAACACCAGGAGGAGGTCTCACAGTCAGCCACAAAAGTGGGGGGACAGGGCTAAGGCTGATCTCAGCATTAATCTGAGGGTTTAGGTGTGGATTCTCCAAATGTCCTGCTCCAAGACAAGGGTTAGTGCACAAGGAACACCCAGCTGCTGCCTGGCATTGCTGGGAGTCCCTTATCTAAGGAGCTGGACAGATGTGGCAGGGAAGTGTCCTTGGAACAGAAGTGGGATGGCAAAAACTCTCAGCTCTGGGTTATTCTCTTATTTCAGAGTGAGCAGCACAAGGGAGCACAAGAAAACACAAGGAAGCACAAGGAAGCACAAGGAAACACAAGGAAGCACAAGGAAACAAACATAAGGGAGCACAAGGAAGCACAAGGGAGCACAAGGGAGCAAAGGAAGCAAAAGGAAACACAAGGAAACACACACAAGGAAACAAACACAAGGGAGCACAAGGGAGCAAAGGAAGCAAAAGGAAACACAAGGAAACACACACAAGGAAACAAACACAAGGGAGCACAAGGGAGCAAAGGAAGCACAAGGAAGCACAAAGAAGCACAAGGAAACACAAGGAAAATATTTCCTCCCTGCTCAATCCATCTGCTGCCCCTCAGAAGAGGCCGTGCAGCCCCAAAATCCTTTCCTGGGATGCTCGATGTGCCTTGTGCTTCCTCAGGATCCCTCTGTCCTTTCCCTGAAACCCCAACCAGAGCAGCCCAGAGCTGCTGCCCTGCCCTGGAGCACCACGAGGGCTGTGCCTGAGGGAATTCCTTCCCTGCTGTCCCCCTGGATGTGCTCCCTGCTCCGTACCCGCCGCAGCCGCCGCCGTTGGAGCCGTAGTGCACGCGGGGCTCGCTGGACGCCAGCTTGATCAGCTCATTCCACTCCTTCTGCCACTCCTCCTCTGTGTAAACCAGGCCAGACTGGAAAATGGCAAAGAGAAAAACCAAAATCATTCAAGTAAAGCAGTCCCAGCTGCTCCAGCGCGGGTTTATACTCACAGCACAACTTTTCTCTGTGGGTTTATGCAAAAACAGTCAACACATTCTGCACCATGTCCTCAAAAGTGCTTCCCAATATTCATCCAAATTTCCCCTCTCAATTTAAATTCATTCCCCTGGTCCTGTCACTTATCCCATGTAGGAATGTGCTCTCTGTTGATGGGAGTGACAAAACTATCTTTTGTCTCTTTAAAAAGAAAAAAAAGCCCAGAAGTTTCTCTCCTCAGTTAGGTAAAAAGACACCTCACAGGACTTGGGGGACTTCACCTCAAACTTAAGGATGGACAGAAGCCAAAAAGTCTCTCCTAAGCAATTCACTAGAAAAAGAAGAGAACAAAGAAACTAATTGCTTTTGTGAAGTGTTTTACCAGGAGCAAGAACCTCTTGCACTTGGCTCGGTTTTTCTCTGCAAAGAGTTTTGTTATTTTGCCTTTTATTAAAACTTTTCTGTTTCCAACACTAACACAAAAGCCATCCTGTTGATTTTATGCCTTCTAAGGTAGCTGAGCTATCTTGGGTGTGATATAGGTCTCCAAGATATAAGACCTAACTCGAGGAGACCCATGTATCAGTCCCAAGACCCTTTCATTCTGCCGCAGCTCTGACTGCAGGACACCCCTTACCAAAACACGCTCCAATGAGCTGCCCAAAATTCCAAACCCGACAGGAAGCACCTCCCAAACCCACGGGACGTTTTCCCAGGACGTTCCCCTTGGCAAAGAGGGCACAAAGCAGCACTCAGCTGGCTCCCACCTCCTTGTTCTGCTGCGTCTGCTGCCAGCGCCAGCGCCGCCTCAGCGCTTCCCGCTCCACGCCCTTGTCCATCAGGGTGTAGAGGGATTTCCTGAGCATGAGATCCCGGTCGTGGAAGCCCCACATACCTGCAGGGAGAAGGAACAGGAAGGTCAGGAGGGGATAGTGTGACTCCCTGACTCGTTGAGGTCCCTGGCAGAGAAGGGAAGGGGCTGCTCCGTTATCCCACATTTTCTTTAGGCATCCAGGGAAACTTGCCAGGGGTAGCACAAATCAGAATTACACACAAATAGGAGTCAGGACTTCCACTCAGAGCAGTTCTCCTCTATTTGTTTTTCCCCCACATCCTTTATTTCCCTCCCCACAGCCCATCAGAGGGGGAGAAGGATTTGAGAAGCTGCTGGCAGCCCCTTCCCTTGAAGCCATCCCACAGAACCCGAGCACTGCCACTGCTCTTGCACAGCCAGGAGCAGCAGCAACATCTGGCTTCCCACCAGAATGGGTGGCTCCTGCCCCCAAAGAGGGATGGTGGGCTCCTGCCCAGGGACTGGTTGGCTGTTTCCTGGGGGATTAAGCCAAGCCTTACCCAGGGAGGCAGCGTGGAGCAGGCAATTCCCATCACCAGTGGTGGCCAGGGGCAGCAGGCGCTGGCAGCTCGGATCCACGGTCACCCACCAGTTGAGACGACCTGGGGAGATTTGGGAGAGTGTGAAACCATGGCATGGGACTGGGGGGACTCTGGGAGCACTGCAGGCTGTGGTTTCAACCCTTCTGAAACCACGGCCAAGAAAAAAAAACAGCTGAACAAGCAGTTTAGACAGGGTGGAAGGAGAACCTGGATGGGTGGGAAGGCACAGACCCATCCCAGGACTGGGTGGGGAAGAGTCAGGACAGTGACAAAGCAACAAAAAGAGGAGATTGGAGCTACAAAACACCCTGAGGATGCCAGGAAAAGACTGGGCTGAATTTGGAGTCACACAAATAGGAGCCAGGACTTCCACCCAGACCAGCTCTCCTCTATCTGTTTTTCCTCCACATCCCTTATTTCTCTCCCCACAGCCCAACAGGCTGGAAATGCCACCAGGAGCACCCAGCACAAACAACTTCTCCAGGGAAAATCAGCATTTTGCTGCTTCTCAGAACCAAATCTCTCCAGTTTCAAGTCTCTCATGGCCACGTTTCCCTGCTCACTGGTTTTTAGGCAGAATACTCCAGGATTTCTGCTGATCCCAGCAGCTTTCCTGCTGCAAATGCAAAGCGACAGCGCCTTAGACTGGGAGTTTTGGGTCATTGTGGTGATTCAAGTCAAGAGCAGCTAAAAAAAGAAGGTAGGAATAAATGCCCAGTGAGCTCAGTCAGATTCAGCCCTTCCCAAGGGAATGAAGCTGAGCTGGATCAGGACTTTGAACCTCTATCTGTGTCTTGCCCTGCCCTCAACATCCCTCCTTGGCTGCCCTGTTTTCCAGGGGTTTTTGGATCCTGTGCAACAGGCAGGTTTTTGGCTGGATGAAGCTGTTTAGGCTTCCAAGTTGTATTCAAATTGCTCCTGCAGGAAACCAGCCCTTTCCCATGGTTTCCAAAGAGCCTCTCCTTCCTCTGGAGCACGATCCCTGCCGGGGATCCCAGCACACAGACATGGGATTGCTGGAAATGCTTTGTACAACCTCAGGGAGAGCAACTGGAGAGGAACTACACACAGAAAACAGGGGTTAAAACATCCCCAAACACCAGAAAACAAAACCCACGCAGTTCAGGGTGACACAGGCAGGTCATTGCTGCTCCCAGCACCAGGAAAGGGACCCGCCAGAGCTGGAAGTGTTCTGCACTGAGCCTGGGGACAATGGCTCTGCACAGAGAAGCCGCCTGTTCCCTCAATTTAGCTCCTGGCACGGCCGAGTTGGGAGCCTGGCCAAGTGGCCCAGGGCCAGGGGTGCCTCACAGGAGCTGTCCCACACGTAATGCTGCTAGGGGCAGCACCTTCTTCTCCATTTCCACTCATTCCTGCAGGATTTGATGCTCTTTTCCAGAGTTTGCACGTCCAGTCGGTGCTTGGGAGCCACTGCTCAGAGGAGGAACCACACTGAACACATCCAGGCTTTTGGAAACTCTACATCCAGATTTTTCAAGACAGGTCTGGTTTTAAACAAAGTTTTGACAGCCTTCTCTAACACAGTTGTCACCACAATAAATTCATTCCTGTATGGGAATTAATTGCAATACGTTTCCCAATGTAGTCAGTGTTAAAAATATCACGGGAAACCACAAGAGATTGGGCTACATTTTGAGATCTTTTCTTGTAACTGCTGTTGTGCAAGCTCTGCCCCAGCCAGGCCTGAGAGGACACACCTTGCAGAGGTATTTCTGTGCCCAGTGTTTGCACTGACTCCAGTTATGCAAGAGAAGTTGTCTCCAAAGGAACCGCACGCCCAACCCTCTCCTGCCGGTGTTTTGCTCCTGTCGAGGCTGGGGAAAGGCCAAGAGGCAGCCCAGAAATATTGAAAACAACACATTTCTCTCTTAAGAGCCAGCCCTGAGAGCTCTGCAGGGAAATCAACTGGATTTAGAAGCCTGAGGGATCTTCCCAGAACGGCCACGGTGGCAACAGATTTTCTGCACAGGGGAAAAGTCCATTGGCATCCAGAGGCTCCCTCTGCATCCAGCACCCTGAGCCTGTGTTATCCCACAGAACACCCCACAGGGTGTTTGGGGAAATCCCATTGTATCTTCCAGCAAGAACCACCTGAACAGGTGACAGCAGTGGGAAGGAACTGATGGCTCCACCCAGCCTGAAGGGAGGATTGCCTCATCCAAACCTTAAATGGTTTCCCCAAGGCTACCGGGAATCCACTCTGGCTTCCTGACACAGGGAGTGTCCCAGGGATTGCTCCCCAGGCCTTGTGCTCCAGGGGATCAGGATCTTTCAGTTCTTCATGATTTTTATCCCCCAGTATCCTCAGGTGAGGTGCCATGGACTGCTCCTCCCTGTGTGACACAAGCAAACCCAGTCTGCAGCTCCCCAGCTCAGCCTGATTCCTGATCCACAAGGGTTTGGGTCAAAGGACACCAAGGTTCCACTGAGGGAAGAGATTTCAGCTCCACCAAGACCCTTCCATCCCACTCCAAAGCCATTCAAAGCATTCCCAGAGGATCTCCTTGAAGTTTACAGCCACTTTGAAATTGTTCACTCTGCCACAATGGTGTAACAGGACCTCTGAAGACATGGGGAAGAGGATCTGAACATTTTTTGGGCTATAAGATGTATTTCCTTAATCCCCTAAGGATGGTGTGTGCTAAATTAATAACGGGAATCCCTGTAGATCACAGCACCATGCTCAAAACCCTACTTGGAATATTTCATAGCTGCACTACAGCCCTTTGTTACAGACAAAACACTCATTTGTAACAACCCACAGACACTCCAAGTCTCCAAAAGGCATTTTCTAAAACTGAATTTCCAAACTCCTTCCCATTAACAGCATCTCAGCACACCTGGAAGTGCCCCCAGCCCACAGATGAAGCACCCAGCAACCCCCAGCCCCACATTTGATTTGTTTGGGACACAGGAACCCAAACCCTGGCTCTGCTGGGATGAGATCTGGGGTTTATCTGCACCAGAGCCAGCAGCTCTGCTGTCACCTCGCGGTGTCACCGTGTAACGGGATCGCTGGGATCAAGTGCTCATTCCCAAAACATGAGAATATTTCTTACAGCAGCTCCAGGACAGGGAGAAGCTGGGCCCTCAGTGTCTGTTATCCCTAAGGATAATGTGTTTTCTGGTATGTGCAGCACCACAGAAACAGTGGGGGAGTGTAAACCCTCCTGAGATCCCTCACGGCGTGCTGCTCCTGCTCACAGGAACCTTCCTGGTGCCAGGGATGAGGTTTTTCCCTGCCAGCATGGATGTCCCCCTCATTCCCTCATTTCCAGACCCCCTGGCAGCTCTCCAGGAACCTGAGGGGAAGCAAAGCAGGGGGTTCCTCCCCAGGCACCCAGCAGGCACTGGAGCAGCACTGACCTTCAGAATTTATCAGCAGGAATTTATTAGACAGGAATTCCCTTTTCTCTGTCTCTCCACAGGACTGGGATGCCCCAGGGGTGAGACAACACCAGTTTTGGGGTGTTTTCCCTCTCAGCAGTGCACAGTGATAACAGCCCTGGGTTGTTTACACTCAGCTCTCACAGCTGAAGGGAAGCAGCTCCTACTCAACCCTTGCAGCAGGTCATAAAAATGATGGAATAATTCCCTGCTGGATATGCATCCACGTGATATCCCAGGGTGTTCCTGTGGGTGACACTCCCGTGGACTCCAGCACGGACCCAGCACTCACCAGCCTGCTCCAGTGCCACCAGCATGGACTGCTCGATGAGATCCCGCTCGATGAAGCTGCGGAAATCCTCGGAGTACACGGTGAGGTCGGGCAGCTGGAAGGTGCAGATGGGCATCTCCAGCAGGTGCTCGCTGCTGCTGCCATTGCTGGACACATGGGAACGGGCCAGGGACACGATGGTGGAGCTGGCATGGGAGATACCACGGGACAGACGCTTCTCTGGGGGTAAGAAACAAAAAAACCACCAACAAAGTCAGGCAGGAGCACCAAACCCCTGGGGCGGGGGAGAACATCTCACAAGCTCCCAACGCATCTCCTCTGCCTGCAGGACACTGACCTTGCACCAGGTCATCCTGGCGCTGCAGGGGGGGCCGCCCTGGCCGCGCCACGTCGCGCTCGGGGGGCCGGGCGCCGCGGCCCTCGGCGAAGGGGGGCGGGAGGTTCCCGGCGTGCACCTGCCGCAGCTGCTCGAAGTCGCTCAGCGCCGCGCTCAGGTCCCAGTTCTTGCCTGCATGGGGAGGTGGAGCCCCCGTTTTTCCCATTTTTCCCCATTACAGGTGTGGAAGCAGAGGGATTTTCCCCATTTTTTCCCATTTTCCCCCATTACACGTGTGGAATAGGAGAATTATCCCCATTTTTCCCCATTTTTCCCATAATTTTTCCCATTTTTCCCCTTTCCAGGTGTGGAAACTGAGCTATTTCCCCCATTTTTTCCATAATTTTTCCCATTTTTCCCCATTCCAGGTGTGGAAGCTGAGGAATTTTCCCCATTTTTCCCCATTACAGGTGTGGAAGCAGAGGGATTTTCCCCATTTTTCCCCATTTTTCCCATAATTTTTCCCATTTTTCCCCATTCCAGGTGTGGAAGCTGAGGAATTTTCCCCATTTTTCCCCATTCCAGGTGTGAAAGCTGAGGAATTTCCCCCATTTTCTCACATTTTTCCCAGAATTTCCCCCATTTTTCCCCACTCCAGGTGCGGAAGCTGAGAAATTTCCCCCATTTTCCCCCATTCCAGGTGGAAAGCTGAGGAATTTCCCCCATTTTCCCAGGAATTATTCCCATTTTCCCCCATTCCAGGTGGAGCAGCACCACCCACCCTCACCCCGCACAGAAACCGAGGCACTTCCTAAACACCCGCGTCGGAAACTATTCCAGCCCCCACCTCCCTCACCCTCTTCCAACCATTTTTCCCCCTGGCTCCCCATCAGCCAGGCTGGGAATTCCCAGCATTATTCCCAGTTTTCCATACCTTCAAGGAGGTCTCTGGCCAGCCCTGGCTCTGCCCCCGTTGAGCGAACAAAATCCGACAGGACGATGTCCATAGCCAAGGCCAGACGGAGTCAGCGGCACCGGATCGGCTCCTCGGCATCAACCTGGGAATGACACCGAGAGCACACCTGGATGGCAGGTGGGAATGAGCTCAGGGGGTCAATGAACCATCCCCCAAAAATGAACTGTGCTCCAGGATTGCTGGTTCATTCCAGCAGTGAATGAATTTCATTGGGAGAACAACGCCCGATTTGCTGTAAACAGCATTTCCTCGGAAAATTCATGAGCTAAACTCAGTTCTCATCTCTAAGGAGGTGGAGTTTTATTTGTAAATTAGGAGTAAATGATATAATAAATGAATATTTGGGAGCAATGAGAAAGCAAGAAGTTTGTCTTGTGCATTTACAGGGAGTAAATCCCAGCCCCATCCCACTCCAAGCACCCCAGCTGTGAGGCAGGGAAAGGAAAGTAAGGACAAAATGCTAGAATTAGATGTGTTCTAAGGAAAATACATTTTAAAAACTAAAAATAAAAATAAAAAAAAACAAATTAAACAATCCCAATTGCTCTGTCAGACAAAATCAATGTCCAGACAGAGTTCCTTTCCACTCCAGAGCTCCTTTGAGTCCAGAGCTCCTTCCCAGAGGGGAATAAAACCACAGATCTATTCCACAAATCTGGATTTTGTCGGGTTCTGAGCCTGTGGAAGGAAGGTGTGTGCTCCTGCCATGCCTTCAAATCCTGATTTTCTGCATTCCTAGGGGCAGAGAGAGAAAGGAAGAGCAGCCTCATCTGTGGGAGTCCAGATGGGCAAAGTGCTCCGTGGAGTTTGGTGCTTTGCAGTTGAAGGATGGGATAAAAATTCTGCCATCAAGGAACAGGAATTTATGCTGAGCTGAAAATTTGGAAGGAGAAAATCTGGGAAGGCTGGGAGAAGGAGGTGCTGGTGTATTAGGTGTAAGAACAAATTTCAGGATTGTGTGGAATATGAACAAACCTGGTTGTTTTCCTGCTGCCTGAAAAATAAAGTCTCTTTTTCAGAATTATCCCTACAGACAGGCAAAACCCCCCTGGTGCCTTGAAATGTTTTTTTTTTTCCAAGATTATCCTTAAAGATGGGTGAAATTCCCTAACAGCACAACTCCCCACAAGCATCCAGACTTTAACCTGGAATCTCTTGGCTTTGCTGGAGAAACACCATCCCCACAATCGAGTTGTTAAGTTCCTCCTCCCAGAAAAAAAAAAAAAACCTCTGGATTCCTTCACTGCGATGCCAAAGCCCAGCACATTCCTGGAGCGGGATTTGGCAGCGATTCCTGCTTTTACTCCAGCAATTTAGGGAACATCCCTAATTAGGAGGCGCAGGTTTGGATCCTCTAATCCCTGGCAGGAGTTGCAGGAGCAAGGAGCAGCTCCAGGATGAGACTGGCTGGTGAAGCTCCCTGCAGGTGGGTGTGGAATTCCAATGCAAATGAACACTCAGCAGGCACAGCAGAGGTTTGGGGAGGGAACAAGAAGCACATCCCACCCCCTCATCCACGGCATTCCAAACTCCCTCGTGCACAAAAATGCCAGGGAAAACACAGCTGGGAAACTCTGGGTCCAAGGAGGAGGTGTTGGATTGTTGGAGATTTATTGAGGGATTGGACAGAGAAATGTCCCCAGCCCAGAGTTATTGATTATTTCCTTTCCCTGTGGAAGGGAAATGCTCTCTCCTCTTCCCTCCTTCCAGAAGAGGTGGGAAATATGAGCCCCAGGAGATGCACAGCTGCAAATCCATCCCCCAGCAATGGAGCAGGCACACCCCAAACCCCCAGGAGTGCATGGGGGTGCAGCACAGCTGGATGTGATCCAAAGTGAGCGTTCCTGGCACATTCCAATCAGAAATGTGTGCAAAACATGAATTTAGGGCTAAGCCCGGTTGTTGTGATCCCAACAGCTCTTTGGAGGACACATCAGCAGGGCTTTTAACAAATATCTCCCCACGTTTGCACAGGGCCTGAGCACAGCAATGCTCCTGACAGGAGTGAGGAGTGATCAGCTGTGCTGGAGTCACACCTCCATGGGACCAGAAGGAGCTGGAGCTTCATGCAAACAGAATTCCATGGTCACACACCCATGGGAACCCAGTGAAAGCTCCATTCCAAAGTGCCAACAGATCCACCCAACGCTGACACAAACCTCCAGCCTTCCAGGCAGAGCAGTCTGCCCAGTTCCAGCCTCGGGAATGGGGCAAAGCTGGGTTTGGTCCATCCTGGCAGCCTGCAAATCCTTCCTAACGGGAATTCAGACCTCTCACACCAAATGTCCATCCAAAATGAGGGGAAAAGTCATCAAACCTCCCGGAGCCTCCTCGCTCTTGCTGCCTACAGCCTCTCCCAGGGCAACTCCAACTCCATCAAGGTTTGGGAAGGGACTCACCAGGAGCATGTGGAGCATCCCAGCCTTCTGCAGGCAGGACTGCACCCCTGACAACATCAGAAAAATCAGGAAACTGAGGGAGGAATTCACAAGGTCCAAGAGCTCAGTGTTTCTCAGCTCCATCCTGGGAGGAATCAACCACTGGGAACGCTGAATTTAAAGAGTTCACCAGAACCAACTGTGGAGCAGCAAAACCGGATCCATTTAAAGTTCCAGACTGGAATTTATGGGGCTTTAATTCCCTTATTTTGTCAGATTTCAATCCTGCTGAACATGCTGCAGAAAGAGGAAATAATTCTCTTTGTTAGGGCCAAATCCTGACCCAAGGTCAGCCACGACCTGTGGCTCCACTGTGTTTATAAAGACACTTCCAGAAATATTTTAGGAGCAGCAAACTCTGACGTCTCTCCCCCGGATCTGCCACGTGATGTTTTGCTGAGGGCAGGAACCAAGCTGGGAAGCCAGAACTCCACTCCCAGAGCTCTGCTCCTCACCCAGCCCCTCCTCAACATCCCTTCCCCACAGGGAACACCAAGCCAGACCCTCAGGGAGCTGCAGGTGAGGCAGGAGGTGCCCAAATCCATGGGAAATTTAATCCTGCCAGACCCACATGGATGTTTTCACTCCCACCAGCAGCAGAGTGGCAAACCAACAGATATCCAACTGCTAAACCCCAAAACCTTGAAATTTGGCAGCACTCAGGGCTAAGCAGGGGGATCCTGAGGGGACCTGCAGGTGGGACATGGGAGCAGCTCCAACCTGAGCCCCATCAGAGTAACAATGAGAAAAATGAGCTGCTCCATGAGCTCTGAGTGAGCATTGCCTGATGCTCCTGAAGGAGGTTTCTGGCTTCCTCCTGCCCCCCAGAACAGTGGGGGCTGTCCCAATCCCACCCTACATGGCTGTCCTGGCCCTGCAGGTTACCTAACGCTGCCAGGATTAGCAGCACCCGTCCTGACCTGACACCTGTGCTGTGTCACTAAGCTCCATCTGGAAGTGCTGGGTGGGACACACACCCTGCAGCTCCTGCCTCTTCCAGGATGGGAATCAAGCCAGTTCATCATCAGCAACATCATCATCAACAAAAATCCAGTTATTCCTGATAAAACTGATGGTGCAGGATACCCTTGGAGTGCTGGGTGGGACACACACCATGCCTGCCTCTTCCAGGATGGGAATAAACCCCCCTCATCATCATCATCAAAAAAAAAAAAAAAGCCAGTTATTCCTGATAAAACTGATGGTGCAGGACAGCCTTGGAGCGCTGGGTGGGATACAGACCATGCAGCTCCTGCCTATTCCAGGATGGGAATCCACCCAGCTCTTCCTCATCATCATCATCAACAAAAAATTGGGTTGATTCCCTCTTCCAGGATGGGAATCAACCCAGCTCCTCATCATCAGCAGCAGCAGCATCAACAAAAATCCAGTTATTCCTGATCAAAGTGATGGAGCAGGACACCCTTGGAGTGCTGGGTGGGATACAGACCATGCAGCTCCTGCCTATTCCAGGATGGAAATCAACCCAGCTCATCATTATCATCAACAAAAATCCAGTTATTCCTGATCAAAGTGATGGAGCAGGACACCCTTGGAGTGCTGGGTGGGACACACACCATGCCTACCTCTTCCAGGATGGGAATCCACCCAGCTCTTCCTCATCATCATCAGCAGCAGCATCAACATAAATCCAGTTATTCCTGATCAAAGTGATGGAGCAGGACACCCTTGGAGTGCTGGGTGGGACACACACCATGCCTACCTCTTCCAGGATGGGAATCCACCCAGCTCTTCCTCATCATCATCAGCAGCAGCATCAACATAAATCCAGTTATTCCTGATCAAAGTGATGGAGCAGGACACCCTTGGAGTGCTGGGTGGGACACACACCATGCCTGCCTCTTCCAGGCTGGGAATCAACCCAGCTCCTCATCATCATCAGCAACAAAAATCCAGTTTGAGAATCAACCCAGCTCATCATCATCATCAGCAGCAGCATCAACAAAAATCCAGTTATTCCTGGTGAAACTGATGGTGCAGGACACCCTTGGAGTGCTGGGTGGGACACACACCATGCCTGCCTCTTCCAGGCTGGGAATCAACCCAGCTTATCAACAAAAATCCAGTTATTCCTGATCAAAGTGATGGAGCAGGACAGCCTTGGAGCCCCTCAGCCCACAGGAGGAAGGCAGTGTGACAGGGAGGAGCAGGGATCTTGGGGGACACAGGGCACAGGCAGCTGTGGCTGCACCTCGTGCTTGGTAGGAGCAGCTCTCCAGGTTTTGCCATTCTGGGAACTTCTTTTTAGCACAGCTCAAAGGGACAGCACATAATCCCCACAAATGAGCTGCTCCAGCAGGGAACAGGGGCTCCTAAAACCACGCTGGTGCTCAGGAGTTGGAGCAGGAGTGAAGTGAAAGTTATGGAAATCATCCCATTTTTATAAAGCTTCAATGGACAGCTTTATCCTGGTTTTTCCCAGAGCTCCAGACACAGCTGGGCTCCTCCCAACAGCCAGCTCATCCTGAACCTTGGGCTGAAGAACACACCAGAACCTACCACTTTTATCTCCAGGACAGATAAAAGCCCAATAAGTCTCCAACACAAACACAGCAGCCTCTGTCCCACCATCATCATCCCTCCTGGTTATCAGCTGCTCCCAAAATTACAGCATTCTCTAACGAAGCACTGACAACAAACTCAGTTCTCTCAGTGCCTGCACCAAAGGAATTCCCTCGGAGCCAAGCTCTTAAACCAGGCCATGACTATTTCCAGGCTGGTTCTCTGCAAGAGCTGAGCCTGGCACATGCTGTCCTTGCCTCTGTCCCAGGGGATGCTCCAGGAGTCCCCTCTGCAATCCAGGCCAGGGCAGCTCCATCACCAATTCTGCCTGTTTTCACCCCAGAATGTTTCAACCCAGTGCTGCTCCATTTTCAGCCCTCTGCAGGGATGAGTTTAGGGTGTAGCTCAGGGCTGGGAGGGCTGAAGTGCCAGTTGAGGGTCCGAGTGGCACGGATTCACCACAAACACCAGCAGAAAATGAAATAAATCCCAACAGAAAACCCAACCAATACTGAAGAGCAGAGTCCTGGTTTTTTAAGCGGTTTGGGCACACAGCTCCTTTTCCCATCCCCAGCTGTGCTCCATCCCAGTGGGGTTTGGATGTTCCTGCCCACAGCAGGGGCTCTCAAGGCTCTCCCACCTGAAGCAAGCACAGGAGATGCCTGGATCCAGCTGTGTATGCTGCCAGCCACCCCTTCAGACACCTCCAACACTGCATCCACAGGTGGCCACACCATCTCCACTCCAGAAGCTTCTTGAGCACAAAACCATCTTTTAGTAGCTTAAAAATCCCATTCCCCCCCCAAAAAAAAAACCTCAGCATGGATGTGTGCCGGGTCAGGAAGATAAAACCCAGCAGTGCCAGTTATTCAGAGTGAAAAATCCCAGCTGGAAGTTCAGACTTTCCAGCTCCATGACTTCAGTGGACACCAAGGCTTTTAGGAACCAGGAGATCCCCGGTCCCGAGCACCCATTTCACAGCCAAGAAAGCCCCGCAGCATTCCCGGTGCACCGGCATCCAACCCAACTCCCGGGAGGCTCCGTCGTGCCCCTACCGGGAGCGAGGTTCCCTGGAGCTGGGGATGGTCCGGGAGCTGCTCCTCGCCCACATCCACAGCACGGGCACGGCGAGGCAATCAGCCACACCAGGAATTCCCTCTCCTACAGATCGGGACCCGCAAACTCCAGCCTTTTTTCTGAGCTCGTGTTTCGCTGCTGAAAGACCCGAGCCCGGCCCCGAGCACGGCACAACGGCAGCACCGGGCAGCCGCGCGGAAATCCCGGTGATCCCGGCAGAAAACAAGCGCCAAGAGGAAAATTATTTGGCCCAAAGTCGCCAGGACCAGGAAAATGTCATTCCCCGGGGAGCCCCCGGAGCGCGGAGGCTCCGGCGGCGGGACAGCCCGGGGGGCTCCGCACCGGGAGCGGGCGGGGGGCGGCCGGGAGCCCTCACGGCCGCGGCCCCGCAGGCCCCCGGGCTGAGGAGGGACCCACAGCCGGGACCCGCACCCCGCCACCCACCCCGGTAGCCCGGGACGACCTCCGGGAGCGAGCCCAGCAGCCGCACCCCGGCAGCGACACCGGGACCCGCCCCCGCCGCCCCCTGAGGCCGCGCCGTGACCCGGCGGGCGCCGCCGAATTAGAAAGGTTTGCTGTGCTCTGCCAGTCTGGAAATGGCACAGTGTACACAGGGAGTGTCTGCGGAACGCGCCGCCACCCCCGTTCCCGCCCGGAACGCTTTGGCGGGCGCACGCGGCCGTGCCGGCAGGGGCCAATGGCGGCGCAGGGCCAGGCTAGGCCACGCCCCTCTCGGGCGCCGCCGCGCGTGCACGGGAGCGGGGAGGGCGGAGCGCCCCCTGGCGGCGCGATGGGGTGCGCGTCACCGAGAGACCCCCCCCGGGACCCCGGAGAGGGCGCGGGACACCGGGGCGGCACCAGGACCCCCGGGAGGGGCCTGAGACCCTCAGTATGCGGCCTGTGAACCCCTGAGTGCGGCCTGAGACTCCCGTGAGGGACCTGAGACCCCCGTGAGGGGCCCGGGACCTCCATGAGTGGCCTGAGACCCCTGTGAGGGGCCAGTGACCCCCTGTATGTGGCCTGAGACTCCTGTGAGGGTCCTGAGACCCCCGTGAAGGGCCTGGGACTCCTCTGAGGGGCCTGAAACTCCTGTGAGGGGCCCATGACCTCCATGAGGGGCCCGGGACCCCCGTGAGGGGCCCATGACCTCTATGAGGGGCCCGGGACCCCCGTGAGGGGCCCATAACCTCCATGAGGGGCCCGGGACCCCCTGTATGTGGCCTGAGACTCCTGAGAGGGGCCTGAGACCTCCATGAGGGGCCTATGACCCCTAGGAGGGGCCTGAGACCCCCTGTGAAGGGCCCAGGACCCTCATGAGGGGCTCAAGACCCCCATGACCCCCGTGAGGGTCCTGAGACCCCCATAAAGGGTCTGGGACTCCTCTGAGGGGCCTGAAACACCTGTGAGAGATCCATGACCTCCATGAGGGGCCTGAGACCCCCGTGAGGGGCCTGGGACCCCCGTGAGGGGCTCAAGACCCCCATGAGGGGCCCATGACCCCCGTGAAGGGCGTGGGACTCCTGTGAGGGGCCTGAAACTCCTGTGAGAGATCCATGACCTCCATGAGGGGCCTGAGACCCCCGTGAGGGGCCTGGGACCCCCGTGAGGGGCTCAAGACCCCCATGAGGGGCCCATGACCCCCGTGAAGGGCGTGGGACTCCTGTGAGGGGCCTGAAACTCCTGTGAGGGGCCCATGACCTCCATGAGGGGCCCGGGACCCCCGTGAGGGGCCTGAGACCCCCATGAGGGGCCTGAGACCCCCGGTATGCGGCCTGAGGACTGGTGGCCAGAGCAGGGGCTGGTGATGCCACCAGCTGCGTCAGGATGTGCCGGGAAGCGCTGGCACAGCTCCCACCGACCCATTGCTGGTGAATTTTCCCCCTGGTTCACCTTCCTCTTCCTTTTTTCCCCACAGAGATCCCTGCCCATTCCCTCTCACCCCGTTCCCCCCTGCTCCTCCTGCAGCCACAGCCAGAGGCCAGCACAATGCCAAACACACATAAACCCCATCTCATTCCTGACAGCTGCAGTCAGAACCATTCCCAGGCTGAGCTAGAGGGTTTTGAGGTGAATTTACCCCTGAGGAGCCCTTGGTGCTGCTGCTCCCTCCAGGGCAAGGCCATGGGGACAGGGACAAGGACAGCTGCCCCACGCAGGGGTGGCACAGCCTGCCCTGGCTGTTTCTCCTCGCAGTCAGGAGTGGAGAATCCATCGCTTTTGAAATAATCAACACCAAATTCAATCCCTTAAAATAGCAGTGCCATAATCCCAGACAATCCTATTGCCTCAATTTAGGGACCAACGTCTGTCCTCGTGCCTGGGCAGTGGTGACAGGCCCAGGGCAGTTATTGGTGAGGTTAAATCAGGGTTATGTACAGAATTGTACTTGAA